GGTGGTGATCAGAATGCTGATATGAGGTATGGTGGTGATCAGGACAGTGGTATGGTGGTGATCTGAACGTTGCTATGGGGTATGGTGGTGATTAGGACACTGGCATGGGGTATGGTGGTGATCAGGATGCTGGTATGACATATGGAGTGATCAGGATGCTGGTATGGGGTATGATGGTGATTAGGACACTGGTATGGAGTATGGCGGGGATCAGGACACTGGTATGGGGTATGGCAGTGATCAGGACACTGGTATGGCATATGGAGTAATCAGGATGCTGGTATGGGTACGGTGGTTATCATGGTGCTGGCAAGGTGTATGGCGGTGATCAGGGTGCTGAAATGGCAGTGAGTAGGGCATTAGTATGGGATATGGCGGTGATCAGGGCATCAGTCAGGATACTGGTATCGTGTATGGGGGTGTATTTGTGCTCACTGGGACAGGTGACAGGAGCTACCCCATTCTTGGTGTCAGTGGGAGGAATAGTGCCACTTCATTAGTATCAATGGGAGGAATAGTGCCCCATTTTTGAAGCGCTAAGCGATCTTTACTTTCACTTTACAGTGTTTACAATGATTGGTCACAGCAGTCACATGGTAAAACACTATGTGATCACCTGGACACAGAAGTAATGTGATTTGGTGTGTCTGGGCAATATAGCAATTGCCGGGCACTAAGGTGCGTGCTCTGTGAGCTGTGCAGGAGCCGCAGCTGCGGGCTGACATACAGGTACGTTAGCCCGCATCGTCAAAGCTTCCCGTCTACCATCTATGTGCAATGGACAGACAGGAAGCGGTTAACTAGGTGACTACTTAGCAGCCAGTATACGTTACAATATACAAAAAGCATGCAGGGGTCTGGAATATGTCATATACACCCCAGTGTACAGAGGACACTGTTCAGGAGTATGTCATATGCAGGGCTAGTGAGAATGAAAAAGGTACAGTGCCTATCTCCAGCACATTTAGTCATCACCCCACAGTGCTTGTCCACCCTCCACCTTGCAGGTCACAAGATGGAGCCAGTAATAAATTTACTGTTTTACAGAAAGTAGAGACTGTTTAGATAAGAGTTAATAAAAATTTCCATAATTCAGAGAGAAAGGGAAGAGATGCATCTTGGGAGCTCAGAATCCATCTTAGAGACTGGCAGAGAAGGAGCCAACTATCAGAGCATATGTTGAACTGGAACTTTCATCTCTTTGTATTCTCTAAAGGCAGCATCACTGGTAGGCTTGGACTTTCTGACATCAATAGCCTAACTATTCATTGTGTTTTCTGTATGTGCTTTCTTTGATTATATGTACTTCTTATCTATTTTTTCTTGATAGTTTCACCCCACCCTGTTTTTTGTTAATAAAGCTTTGAGATTTCACTCAGTCTGGCTTATTGCACAATAGGAGGTATTAGCTGCATGTTGAGTTGCAAACGGAAATGTGTAGGAAAGACAGAACAATGAGGCAAGATCAAATTGAGGGTGAAGATCCACTCTCCAGTGCTAGCAATAGACATGTTGCTTGAACACTGAGCAACCTGCACTCTAGCCCTTTAAGGTACCACCCCCTCTGTAACTGGCTGCAGTGCTGGAGAAAGCAGGAATCCAGCAGCCAGATAAGCGTGGGATGAGGGAAACAATTCAATAAAATATAATATTCACAGAGTCCATTTCCAGAGCAAAAACAAATATATTATGTCCAGTAGTGATGGGCCAAACACCTCCATGTTTGGTTCGCAGTTGAATCTAATGAACATTTGACCATGAACTTTGAACTCAATGTAAGTCTCAAAGTTGTAAATTCAAAAGTGCCCATTTTGAAGGTTTATATGCAAGTTACTGGCCATAAAAGGGGCATGGGGACTGACTCAGTGAAACATTTTTTTAAAAAAAGTACTGTTTTAAAGTCATTTTTCATTGCTTAAAGAAAAAAAAATCCTTTAAATATTATGCCTGGGGGGCATGATCATTTCTCTGGCAAAGCAAAGCTTGTTGTCAGAACATAACTCATTCATGAACGGTCATGAATTTTCTCTGGCCTTAAGCATGACTCGTTACTTAATCCCAAAATAATGGGGCTTCACAATAATGTCCCTAGGAGGCTCACTGGGATGAGGGGCCATTAGAGCTCGATGGGCCCAATCCAGCTCAAGCTGAGAATCCTGCACATCAGGTAGCAAGGAGCACATTATATATTCAAATCGGTGGACAGGACGTCCAATCTTTGCTGACATCTCACAGGCCACAGTACAGAAACGATGTGCATTTAAACCACTCCAAAATCAGAACATTACATACCATTGGATGTTCCCCTTCCGGTTGTCATTCACCTATAGGGGAAAATCGTATTCATTCACTATTTTCCATGAGGGAGAATCCTTCCTGCTGCAACTGGGCTTGATAACTACAGCTCCATCTATGACGCCACAACACCAGTCACCTTTCCTGGAAGATAAAAACCGATCAAGAACCAAGGCTTCTCTGTCACCATTATGGCACAACACTAGAAGCCTTACCAACCTCCTTGATTTGGTGGACTGGATCTGTTGGTCTCTGCTAAAGTTAACTGTTTGATTGAGATATGGGTCCCCCACCTTTTCTTATCTCCGGTCTTTAATTTTTTAAGGGATTTTAATGGTGGGATTCTGTACCCCGTACACAGTTGTCCTGTTATATTTTGTTTAATATTTTGTTTGCTTTCTTTGCTACTGCCTGCGGTATTGTTGGAGGACTAATGTTCTGTGTCAGTTTCGCTGTTTGAATGAGAATAGGCGCAGACCTTGTGCACGAGTACTGCACCCCATTCTGTTTCCACTTCTGCCTCCTTAACTGTGGCTGACGTGGACCCAGACCTTATTCCATGACTTGTGGAACATACTTAGTTTCAGTTTGGTGGTCTCTGTGGCGTGTCCGCATTTGACCTCCATATACCGTATTTTATGAAGTTTTGGAATTCATTATTGTCCTGCTTTTCTCTCTTCCTGCTTGCAGGTTCTTTCATTTTTCCTCATGTCACTGTAATAATTCTCTTTTTTTTTTTAGTGTTTTTTCTTTTTCATAGCCACCCACGCGGCTTCCACCTCTCCCTAGGACTGGCTTCTGGATTGGCACCTGGTAATTGTCTCTCTGGGGTAAGTCAGCTCTTTTTTGGACCTTTCTCATGGTCTCCGATAATACATAATGCTCAGGGTCTAAACTCGCCAGTGAAACGTAGAAAAGCTTTCCATTACTATCGCTTGTTGGGTGCGGATATAGTTCTGTTATAGGAGACTCATTTCCCTATCGCGTTCCAGACCCCTTTTTTGCATGGACATTATCGCCTGTTTTTTCTGGCTAATGCGCCGGACAAGACACGGGGTGTTGCAATTTGTATATCCAAATGGCTCTCCTTCTCGCCCCTTGATGTAGTTTGGGATCCTGGCAGTAAGTACCTCCTGGTGACAGGAAAGATAGAGGGGGAACAGGTTACTTTTCTCATGTACTATGCACTCAACACCGACCAGTTGGCCTTTTTCCGGTCCCTTCTCCAGACGCTGTCTCTGTCAGGGCTCCCGGGTATGACCAGAGGTGTGTGACTGACGCAGGGAAACGCAGACTTCAGATATGTTATAAACAATGTAAAGGCCGGGTCAATATCAGTCGGGCAGGTAGGTACAGGGGGAGCAAGCGGAGAATGGTCGGGGTCACAGGCCAGGTTCAGCAGGTAGCGGGCAGCGTTGTACAGAGGGTCAGGCAGAGGAGAATGGTCAGACAAGCCAGGGATCAGAGCAGGGTCAGCAGAGAATCAGACAGGAACAGAGAGCAGGAACAGGATACAGGGCCCAAGAGAAACACAACACCAAGGCAGAGTCTGCAGGTCTGAATGTCCCTTAAATACACCAGTATAATTAGTTCCAGGTGTTTGACTGGCTGCAAGGTTGAGTCTCTGATTGCTGGGAGCACCCGCTGGCCAGCCCTGGTACTGCAGCTCATAAGGCAGCTGAGTCCCACTATTGCTGGCCAGTCCATTCCTGACAGTACCCCCCCCCCCTCAAGGAGCGGCCTCAGGACGCTCCAAACAGTCCTAGCTGGGCAAAATGTTCCACCGCCCGGGTCTGGTAACTGGCGGGATATCAAAGACTGGCACACCGGGCAGGACTCCGGGCAGCGGCACACCGGGCAGAGGCACATCGGGCAGGACTCCGGGCAGAGGCACATCGGGCTGGACTCCGGGCAGAGGCACATCGGGCAGCGGACTCCGGGCAGGGCAGAGGGCACATCGGGCAGGGCACTCGGGCTGGACTCGGGCAGAGGCACATCGGGCTGGACTCCGGGCAGAGGCACATCGGGCAGCGGCACCGGGCCGGGCAGAGGCACATCGGGCTGGACTCCGGGCAGAGGCACATCGGGCTGGACTCCGGGCAGAGGCACATCGGGCAGGAGGCACACCGGGCAGAGGCACTCCGGGCAGAGGCACATCGGGCAGAGGCACACCGGGCAGGGCACTCCGGGCAGAGGCACATCGGGCAGGACTCCGGGCAGAGGCACACATCGGGCTGGACTCCGGGCAGAGGCACATCGGGCAGGACTCCGGGCAGAGGCACATCGGGCTGGACTCCGGGCAGGCAGGCACATCGGGCTGGACTCCGGGCAGAGGCACATCGGGCTGGGCCTCCGGGCAGAGGCACACATCGGGCCCCCGGGCGGGGCACACAGGCAGGGGCACATCGGGCAGGGCCCCCGGGCAGAGCAGCACATCGGGCCCCCCAGGCGAAGCAGCAGGCAGCGGGCCCCCAGGCGGAGCAGCAGGCAGGCCGGGCCCCCAGGCGGGGGGGCAGCAGGCACCGGGCCCCCAGGCGGGGCGGCAGCAGCAGGCACCGGGCCCCCGGGCGGAGCAGCAGGCACCGGGCCCCCAGGCGGGCGGCAGGCATCGGGCCCCCCAGCGGGGGCGACAGGCATCGGGCCCCCAGGCGGGGCGACGGCACAGGGGCCCCAGGCGGGCGGCATCGGACCCCCAGGCGGAGCGACAGGCTCGGGCCCTCAGGCGGAGCGGCGGGCGCCGGACCCCCAGGCGGAGCGACAGGTCTCGGGCCCCAGGCGGAGCGGCGGGCGCCGGACCCCCAGGTGGAGCGACAGGTCTCGGGCCCTCAGGCGGAGCGGCGGGCGCCGGACCCCCAGGTGGAGCGACAGGTCTCGGGCCCTCAGGCGGGGCGGCGGGCGCCGGGGCCCCCAGGCGGGAGCGACAGGTCTCGGGCCCTCAGGCGGAGCGGCGGGCGCCGGGCCCCCCAGGCGGAGCGACAGGTCAGGGCCCCCAGGCGGGCGGCCCCGGGCCCCCCCCAGGCGGAGCGACAGGTCTCGGGCCCTCAGGCGGAGCGACGGCTCGGGCGCCGGGACGGCGGGCCCGGACCCCCAGGCGGAGCGACAGGTCTCGGACCCCCAGGCGGAGCGACAGGGCGCCGGGGACCCCCAGGTGGAGCGACAGGTCTCGGGCCCTCAGGCGGAGCGACAGGTCTCAGGCCCCCAGGCGGGGGGCGGACGCCGGACCCCCAGGCGGAGCGGCGGGCGCCGGACCCCCAGGCGGAGCGACAGGTCTCGGGCCCCCAGGCGAAGCGGCGGGCACCGAGTCACCAGGCACGACAGTGGGCTCCGAGTCAACTGGCATGACCGCTGGCACTGGGTCAGACATTGGATCGTCTGGCTGGACAGCGGGCATCGGGTCACCAGGCATCAGGTCATTTGGCTCGACAGCGGGCACCGCGTCATCTGGCAAGGCAGTGGGCTCCGAGTCAACTGGTATGACCGCGGGCACTGGGTCAGACATTGGATCGTCTGACTGGACAGCGGGCATCGGGTCACCAGGCATCAAGTCATTTGGCTCGACAGCGAGCACCGCGTCATCTGGCAAGGCAGTGGGCTCCGAGTCAACAGGCACGACAGTGGGCACCGGGTCATCAGGTACCGGATTGTCTGGCTCGACAGCGGGCATCGGGTCACCAGGTATGACAGCGGGCACTGGGTCACCAGGCATCAGGTCATTTGGCTTGCCAGCGGGCACCGCGTCATCTGGCAAGGCAGTGGGCACCCGGGTCACCAGGGTCATTGGATCAGTCTGGCTCTCGACAGCGGGCATCGGGTCACCAGGTATGACAGCGGGCACTGGGTCACCAGGCATCAGGTCATTTGGCTCGCCAGCGGGCACCGCGTCATCTGGCAAGGCAGTGGGCACCGAGTCACCAGGTACGACAGCGGGCTCTGAGTCAATTGGCACGACAGCGGGCACCGGATCAGGTACCGGATCATCTGGATCAACAGCGGGCATCGAGTCAACTGGCCTAATAGGATCGTCAGGCTGGATCAGTTCATCATGCTGGGTAGAGGCATCATCAGGCTGAATGCCGGCGTCCGGCTGAGTAGAGGCTTCAGGCTGAGTAGAGGCTTCAGGCCGAGTAGAGGCTTCAGGGCCGAGTAGAGGCTCAGGCCGAGTAGAGGCTTCAGGCCGAGTAGAGGCATCAGGCCGAGCATCAGGCCGAGTAGAGGCATCAGGCCGAGTAGAGGCATCAGGCCGAGTAGAGGCATCAGGCCGAGTAGAGGCTTCAGGCCGAGTAGAGGCTTCAGGCCGAGTAGAGGCTTCAGGCCGAGTAGAGGCATTCAGGCTGAGTAGAGGCATCAGGCTGCGTACAGGCATCAGGCCGAGTAGAGGCATCAGGCTGCGTACAGGCATCAGGCTGAGTACAGGCATCAGGCTGAGTACAGGCATCAGGCTGAGTACAGGGCTGAGTAGAGGATTCAGGCTGAGTAGAGGCTTCAGGCTGAACCACGGAAGGCAGGTTCACCGGTTTGGATACTGGCAGGATGGTATTGGTTGGAAAGAATTTTCGCTTTTTTCTGGTTTTAACTACTGGAGCACTGCAAGTAAACGCAGGTCTGCAAACGAATGGAGCAGCTGGAGACAGAGAAGAACTGGAGGATGGAACAGGAGAGGGAGCAGTTGCTACAGAGGGCTTTTTTACAGGGTTAAAGGCAGGATAGGTGCAGCGAGTGGGAACAGGGTACTGACATGCGGTAGATAGCAGGGCAGGAGGAGCTGTTGGGAATGCAGGAATAGAGTTTTGAGGAAATAGATTAGAAGCAGGACTGGGTTTTTGTAAGCTGACTGAGGCTGGGTGCAACAAATCTCTGTCCATGTCTGCAGTATGGGTTGAACAAAGCTGAGCTTACACAAAGCCTGTCTGACCAAAGACTGCACTGCGTTTATACAATCTCTTAGTGTCTGTGGTGAACATGTGGAATAACGCTCCAGAAAGTAACCCACATCATCCTCTAATAACCACACCAGGGACTCTACCTGGTCTGCACTAAATGGTGGCAAAAATTCATCCCTGCATTCGGGGGTACCAGATGAAACCAACTCAGCACAAACCTCAATCAAAGGCTGCACCTCAGAGAACTCTGTGCCCTGATCTACTAGAACATGAGCGAGCCGTATACATTCTAGCAGTTCATCCCGGGGATACTCCTTCAGAGTTTGATAAGCATACTCCCTGTCATCAAACACTAGCAGATATAAATACACAACCTCATCCAGATCCATCCTTCCCATCAACAAGCCAAGATGGCTTCCCTGTGCAGCCACTTCTGGTCAGGATTGGCCTTGGTGTAATGTCAGGGCTCCCGGGTATGACCAGAGGTGTGTGACTGACGCAGGGAAACGCAGACTCAGATATGTTATAAACAATGTAATTTATTAACACTAACCATACAAACATAAACGCAGTGCAATACTAAAACATAACACAGTGCAAACAAACCAACCAACCACCCACAGATAACAGTACATACAATGCAAGCGTCGTCAGGCAGGCCGGGTCAATATCAGTCGGGCAGGTAGGTACAGGGGGAGCAAGCGGAGAATGGTCGGGGTCACAGGCCAGGTTCAGCAGGTAGCGGGCAGCGTGGTACAGAGGGTCAGGCAGAGGAGAATGGTCAGACAAGCCAGGGATCAGAGCAGGGTCAGCAGAGAATCAGACAGGAACAGAGAGCAGGAACAGGATACAGCTGAGTCCCACTATTGCTGGCCAGTCCATTCCTGACAGTCTCCACACTTTATGGGGACCGTGGTCTTAGGGGGTGACTGAAATGTGGCTCTGGACTCGGTCTTGGATAAGATGAGAGCCCCAGGGGCCCGCCTTTTACAACCATCCAAAGTGGAAACTAAGCTGGGGAAGTTGCTTCACCAATTTGATTTGGTTGATGTTTGGCGGGAACTTCACGCTTCTAGTCATTACTTCACAAATTATTCCAATGTTCATTTAACCTATTCTAGGATAGACCACATCTTTAGTCCCTCTCAAAGTGTGCCTTTGTTTAATTCCTTCAAAATTCTGGAGGTTGCGTGGTCTGATCATTTGCCTGTTATGGCCACCCTCATTTCTATTCGCAAAGTTGCCTCAGTTTATTCTTGGCGTCTTAATGAATCGCTCCTTAGCAACCCTTCTGTTTGTCTTGATGTTGAGATGCACCTTAAAGAGTTCTTTACCATTAACGATTTGATACAAACTTCATCTCAAATAACTGGGCTGCCCATAAAGCCTCTGTACGGGGTATCCTCCTTCAGCTAGCTGCCAGATTTAAGAAGGCCTCTGCGCTCTAATACTCCAAAAAAGGTCTGAACAGACCAACCTTTTTAAAGAGCAAAAGCAGAATCTTCATCTAGACCTCCAGGATAAAATAGCAGCCACCGCGTCTTAAATTGAACATTTGCCTTACCACTAGAGCGATGAAACACCTTAGGTGGTCTCAAGCTAAATTTTATCAGCACTCTGACCGTCCTGGGAAGCTTTTGGTGCAGAAATTGACTCCTAGACCGCAATTGGTCTCCATCCCTAAGCTTAGATTGGCTGATGGTTCCTTGACCCAAAACCCAGTAACGGTACTTCCGGAATTCCACACATATTATCGTAATTTATATACCAATTCACATACCGCTTCGTCAGAAGATTTCGAGGAGTTTGTGGCCCGTCTCCCTTTACCTGTTTTTTTAGAGTCCCATAGGGAGGCTTTAGATGGGGAAATTACATCGGCAGAGGTTCTTAGGGCCATCAAGGAGTCAAAGCCAGCTAAGGCTCTGGGACCTGATGGCTTCACAGCCTTATACTACAAAAAAAATTTGCCCACCTTCTGGTCCCACATTTAGTGACTTATTTTAATTCTCTTCAACAGGGGGACCCGATGGATAAGAATTCTAATAGAGCTTTTATATGTCTTATCCCCAAACCTAATAAAGACCATTGCGATCTCTCTAATTATAGGCCAATTTCTTTGATTAATATGGACCTGAAACTTCTGGCAAAAATGTATGCTACCAGACTAAATGGCTTTATTGCTAATTACATTAATAAGGATCAGGTAGGGTTTATACCTGAGCGGCAGGCCTCGGATCAAATATGAACAGCAGTTGACCTTATTTCTATATTGCAGTCTACATGGGACCAAGGTAGCTCACAGAAAAGTATGTTGCTCTCGTTAGATATTCGGAAAGCATTTCACTCCATTTCTTGGGAGTACTTGTTTTGAATTCTCTCGCGAGGGAGCTTAGGAACCCAGATTTCTGACATTCCTTCTATCAGGAATGGACTCAGCACTGGTGGTGGAACTCACCTGCCGTGTGGGCTGCAGTACCAGGGCTGACCAGTGGGTGCTCTCAGCAGCCAGAAGCTCACTCCTGCAGTCAGCCAACACCTGGCGCTGATTTCAGGAGGTGTATTTAAGGAATGACCAGGCCTGTGATCAGGGCCTTGGTGTATGTTTCCCATGAGCCCCTGTACCTGGTATCCTGTGTTCCTGCTTATCTGCCTAGTTGCTGACCCTGCTTTGATCCTGACCTCTGCTGACCGTCTCCTGTTGAACCCCTGGCTTGCCTGACCATCCTTCTGCCTGATCCTCTGTACCGCGCTGCCCGTGAGTTACTGAACCCGGCTTGTGACCCTGACTATTCTCTGCCTGCTCCTCCGGTACCTCACTGCCCGCATGTTACTGTCCAAACCTGCCAGCCCCTTCACATCAGGCTTTCCCCCGGTACATACCCTCGGCGGACCCCTCTACCACAGTTGGGTGCACTCAGGGGCTGCGACCTGGTCTCAGTCCTGCGCCAAGTCCATCCCCACCATCAGGGGCTCTGGTGAAAAGGCAGACTGGGGCTTAGACTCCGCACCCTGGGGAATCCTGGTCTGTGAGTCACTAGAGATCCAGCCCGGCGGTCCCTGACAGTACCTTACGGCCCGCCTGACCATTCCACCTCTTCAGCCCTGACTACACCTGTGTTCCTGAAGCCTGCTACTTCCCCAGTGTCAGTCCACACATTTCTGGTCATACCCGGATCCCTAACACCTTCACACACTGTATAGCAATCCTTCGGCACAACTGAGGTTGCGGGGGTATCTCTCGGATCCTATTTCGATTGCATCCGGCACCCATCAAGGCTGCCCTCTTTTGGGCAAGTTTGTATAGGTTGTTTGTGTCTCACTCAGGTAAATTATCCTATATGCTAGCCTGGGAGAGGAACATAGGCGAGGTAAAGGAGAAAGATTGGCAGGATTGGTTCCTTAGAGTACACAGAGGCATTATGAATGTTTCCCTTGTGAAGGTGGGTTATAAGGTCCTCTCTTGCTGGTATTTAGTCCCGATCGAGGATGTACCCTGGCTCCTCCCCACTCTGTTTTCGAGAATGTGGGCAAGTAGGTATGATATTCCATATTTGGTGGGCATGCCCTAGGGTTAGAAGATTCTGGATTCGAGTTCACTCCCTGTTTTTACGGTGACCATGATTAATGTTCTTAAGAACCTCAGAACTGCTCTGCTTAATGAACCTATTATTGGCATCTCCAGGTCCTCTCAGACCTTAATTTATTTTATGTTCCTAGCAGCTAAAATTATGATTGCTACTGCTTGGAAGGGTCCAGTGGTTGACTTGGCGTTGATGAAACGTAAACTCTCTTGGATTATGGTTAATGAGAAAATGGTCAGCATACTGTGGGACACTTCTGCTAAGTTTGAGCGGGTCTGGAATCCATGGATTTATTACCTGCAAACTGGGTCCTAATATCGATATGTGATTTGTTTAGGTTCCATGGGGCTGGTCACGTGAGTGGCCTCCATTCTATCCTCTTTTATTTCTCTCTTTGCTTTTTTTTTCTAGCTTTTTTTTTTCCTTTTTCCGGTCTATTATTGTTTTCTGATCACTCATCCCTCTGATGGCTTGCTGTCTTATTGCAGGCTATACTTAAATTGCATGGTATGGTGTTTTCTTTTATACCTGCTGTAGGGGATTATAGCT